AGTGTTTCCTCTTGTGTGTGTGTGCCTCCTGCAGTGTGTGTTTGTAGACGGCTGTAGTCAGTCGTACAGAGTTTCAGCTTAAATCGTCGCTGGCTAGATGAAACGCACTTAAGACGATCTGCAGACGCTCTCACGCATCTCAGCAACATGTGACAGACGATCTCAAAGTGATCCATCGATTCTGAGCCGCCTGTCACGTTCAGATCGTCTTCATCGCTCCCCTGTGAGTCTCTGTGAATCTGAAGTGTGTTCCGTGCTGACGAAATGCCAGTATTATGATTCTCCATGATGAATGTGTGACTGAGGTTTAGCTGTCCATCGGTCGGCCGCGTCACACTACGCTTAATCCGGATCTCACTCCTATTTTGAGTGTTTAATGCAGGAATATCTCACTAATAGGAGGCATGTTGTTAGTATTGGAAGCCAATCTTCATCTGAAATATATTTAAAGTCTGGTGTTCCCCAGGGCTCGATTCTTGGTCCGGTACTGTTTTCCCTTTATAGGCTTCCTCTAGGATCTATATTTAACGCATATAGGGTCTCTTTTCATCTGTATGCAGGTGACACACAAATCTATATCCCCTTGAAGCGCGATTGCAAGCAGGCCCTAAAGCATATTTTAGACTAAAACTTTGGCTTGCAAGTAATTTCTAAAGCCTTAATGAGTGAGAATTCATTAATGAGAATGAATTTATTTTGTTTGGCTCAAATGAGCACTGTGTACATGATTTCAAATCTGAATTTCTTACTCAATTCAGCACTACACGTGCCAGAAACTTGGATGTTTGGTTTGATAATAATCTTAAATTTGATAAGCGGATAAGTACTGTGGTTCTGACGAAGGTGAAGCCATTTTTGTCTCTTTGTTTGAAAGTTTGAAAAGGTTATGCATGCTTTTGTAACATCTCGTTTGGATTACTGTAACTCGTTGTATATCAGTGCTCCTCAGTCTTGTGTTTCACGTCTGCAGCTGGTTCAGAATGCAGCGGCTCGGCTTCTTTATGGGATGCGCAAATATCACTCCAGTCTATCACACCAGTTTTGATCTCATTGCATTGGCTGCCAGTTAAATATAGAATTGATTTTAAAATTTTACTGTTTGTCTATAAATCTGTCCATAATCATGCTCCACAGTACCTATCAGAATCAATGATGCAAACAAATTCGATTCAGCTATAACACAGCTGTGAAGTTTTGTTCTCGTATGATGGTGTCAGTGCAGTCGTATTGATAATATTACTGAATATTAAGCGTTAAGTTTTAAACCCAACTAATCAAGCCAAAGGTGACGGTGGAAAGGAACCCAAACTCCATCAGGTGACAGAAATGGAGAAAGGAGAAATCTTGGGAGGAACCAGACTACACCAGACAACAGAAAAGAGTAACAACCCCGCTCCACAAGCAAAATCACTCCTGAAAGTTCATATAATGATGATAACATAACAGAACTGAACATCTCTCTACTAGTCTCAATCAGACCGGCAGACAAACGTCTGTGATTTGTAGATGTCAGAACAATGTTTCTCATCTGGGTTATTTGAGAGCGTAACCCAGTCCATCCATCCAAAACTCACTTTCTGCGTTTCATACAAAAGCCAGTCACCTCAGAGGCCCCAAACATCCGTAGTTTTCCCAGTTCCCTTGTTTACAGCCGAGAGATAAGGGCATTTCTCTGATAATTTGTGCTGATTGTTGTTTTCACACGGGCCGATATCAGCTGGATTCTGCTGCGTCTATATTTAAACCCAGATTCCGTCAGCGTCTCTCAGGCGTTATTAACCGCTGCTCGAACCCGCTCTCTGATATCCAGACCTGAGACTCCGATCCAGATTCAATCTCATGATCTTCCTCACCGATCACTGTATTGGGTCTTATTTGGCACTCAGTCAGGTTATTGCCCACTGAATGTTTCTATTGGCTGTTTAGCACTGATGTTTTCTACCGACGAGGCATCATAATGCGCCTGTGCGCCGCAGATAAGCCACTCCACAGGAAGTCATAGCGCACGATGAGTTCCTGACCGTCGCTGGCTCATCAGGAAAGAGGAAGAGGAAACACAACGCACATTAGTTCCCTGTCAGAACCAGGAGCGCATTACCGTGTGTGTGTGTGTGTGAGATCCTGCTGTGAAGGAAGTTTGAAGGTTTCTGTGGAGAAACAGTGTCTCCCTCTCGGTGGGTTTGGACGGCCAAACAAATCAAACGGGCTTTCATTTCTTCATTAGTGACCTTTTAAGAAGGTGACGCTCAGGCTAATGAGGTGATTGTAGCCAGAGAAGCTTTAGAGGATTCCAGTGACATTCCCAGTGGTGTTACGTCCAACAGTGAGTGTGTTTTCATAGGGCAGCGGGGGAGTGTGTGTGTGTGTGTGTGTGCAGGGGGAGGAAGCTCCTCAATGATACTCTGCTGATCATGTAACACAAATGAGCCGTCAAACACCAGGAAACCTCATAAACTCACAAAACACTTTCACACCGTCAGGCGCTCTGGTCACATCGCTGTCTCACCGCTGACCCGTCTATCGGTCTGTCTGTTTCTGTCCGTCTCTCTGAGAGGGTTCGGAGCGGATCAGAGCCGCTCGCTGTCTTTATCATCCGGCTGCTGTCAGTCTGTGATCATTCAGTCATTTCTGCTACTGGAAACCAGCAGAACTCAACATACCGAGACTCAATCTGTCCAGTCACCTTTATTTCTATAGCACTTCATACAATACAGATTAATTCAAAGCAGCTCCACAGAGAGGAAAATAACAATCAAACAGGTTTGTAGAAATGTAGCATTGCATCAGTGTCTCAGCAATGGATGCTCTGCAGTGAATGGGTGCCGTCAGAATGAGAGTCCAAACAGCTGATAAAAACATCACAATAATCCGCAAGTAATCCACAGCACTCCAGTCCATCAGTTAACATCTGGAGAAGACAAAAGCTGAAACAAATCCAGCATTAAGACATTTTTAACTCAAATATGAGTCTATAATCCATAATAACGCTTCCTCCAGTGAAAAAGTGCATCTCCTGTTGTCTCTCACATCAAAATCCAGCCACATATGTGTTTAGAGCTGTTTAAACAGTGCTTGATCTGTGCAGATTTCTCTCGCATTAAGATGTTTTTAACTAAAATACCATAGAGTCTATAATCCATAACGCTTCCTCCAGTGAAAAAGTGTTCTGGTGTGAATCAGGAGAGAAATCTGCACAGATCAAGCACAGTTTAAACAGCTCTAAACTAATATGTGGCTGGATTTTGATGTGAGAGACAACAGCAGATGCACTTTTTCACTGGAGGAAGAGTTATTATGGATTATGGACTCGTATTGATGTATTGATTTTGTTGTTGTATGAATGAGTCTACATTTGTTCTGCTGGAGGTTCAGCATTAATGAAGCGCAGTGAAAGCTGTGAGCGTGTCGTCCTGAAATCTTTCTTCTGTGATGCTCTGGTGTCTCTGTGAGTCTGTGGTTTGTGTTTGTTGTGATAGCGTGCTGTTCTCAGGGTTCACAGGGCACGATTCATTAACTCTGAGCAGCGCGCCATCGATGAAGGTAAATAAATAGGAGCGTGCGTACGTTAATGTACCGGCCGGCGGGTCTGATAAAGGTCTCGTGTAATCCGGGCTGCTGACCTCCCGGGGGGTCGGGGGGGTAATGAGCTCCACAGCTGGCCTCCTGAGACCCAAACCACCGATTCCATAGATGCAGACTCCTCAGCTTTCAGTGACAACTCACTTTTTGAGATCAAAATATGTCACCTGTGAGATTTGCTTAGATCCAGTGAGAAAGTGGTTTAATGGGGGGGGTCTTACAATTGTAAATAAACAACTGGGGCCGGTTGCATAAACTGTGTAGACTAGTCTTAAAAAGTTAGTCATCTCATTTTTTTCTTCTTCAAGACTGGTCATAACTTTTTTAATTCAGTTATGAAAAGTTAGTTTGGTTTTATTTGTATTGGAAAAGTAAGACTGATTACCTCTTGCTAAGTTTATGCAACTGGCCCCTGGTTGTTTCAATAAGTTTTGTATAGTATTTTCTTTACTCTTTACTTCAAAAGCTATGTCTAAAAAGGTTAATAGTTTATGTATTTGAGGTCAGAGATTTGGGAACGCTGAAGAGAGAGAGTGAGGACAAACATTTAGCATTTTAGGTCAGCATTGCCGTCTAATCAGCCAATATTGTCTTTAATAGCTTGCATAGAACTTCATCTTTTATAACATGGGATTTTGACCAAATATATTCAATCTTGATTTTTGTAAAATGTTGCAACAAGATGTTAAAAATGTTTTGTTTTTTTGTGTGAAAAATTGCAGTTTTGGGCATACGAGGTAATAAAAAATATTTTAAAAATACCTTAAAGTAACTACAAATGAGCACGTAAAGCGGATATCTTTAAAAGAAATTCTGTGTGGTGATGATGAAGATGGTGATGGTGATGATAATGATGGTGATGATGATGGTGAAGATGATTATGATGGTGGTGAAGATGATGAAGATGGTGATGATGATGATGGTGAAGGTGAAGATGAAGATGGTGATGATGAAGATGATGAAGAAACTTCAGAAACTATATTATTGGCCAGCCTTAAGATGTTCTTATGATAAGATAATTCATATACCCTTTCAAGTGGCTGCCCTGCGATCTCTGAACAAATTTTCATTTGATTCAACAGCTTTGTTTGGAAAAAAGAAGTCATCACCTTTATTTCTCTAGCACTTTTAAAAGCAGCTTTACACTAACAAACAGGAAAGTAAGAGAATCAATGATGCAAACTTCAAAAATGAGTCCAAAATTCTGCAACATCATGCAGCTCCAGTCGGTTCAGTTCAATAACTGTGAACTTCATTCATTATGAAACCAGTTCAGCTCAATAAGCAGCTCTACTGAAGACACTCTTGCTCCTATTCTGTTTTCTAAAATAATAGAACTGAGAATTTAGAGATAAATGTGTCGTGCAGTCACGGCGTTTGATGCAGAAGTGTTACGGGATTGTTGTGCTCTTGTGTTTCAGTCCGTGTCCGGAGCAGGGGATGGGCGATGAGTTTAACCTCATGGACCATTCGGACCTGTACCTCCTGGACTTCAGTGAGTCTGACCGTCTCAGTGTGATGTCACTGCCTCATTATCATAATGAATGCTTATAGTCATCAGCTGAATAGTGGCCGTGGATTAACCCTTACATTACAGAAGCTAAAATAAGAAGTGCATGACATGACAAGTTTTATTTTTTCCCAAATTCTGTCTCCATTTTAATGGTTAAATGACATTTTAGTAATCAAAAAGCATGTAATCATTTGGAATTATGAAACTTACACAATTTAACAACAATTTATTAAACATGAAAAAAAAATTACAGTTTTATTTTTCTGAAATTCTGTGGATTCCATTTTAATGGTTTTATTCAATTAAATTTAATGGTTTTATTCAGTTTAATTCATTTATAATCAAAAAGCATGTCTAATTTAGACATTTAACTTTAACAACTTAATAGTTTATTAATTACAATAATTAGCACATTTACACAGCAGTGCTTTAACTCACACACACTCGTCCGCATCGCCGTTTAAAACAGTGTACAGCCCTACTCTTCATTTATTCATCCAGCATTTGTCGATCTCCGTGTTTTATGGTAAATGATATTGTCATGGCTGGAGTGACTTGCGGTCGGTCGGTGATGCGGTGAGTTGGCAGATCCTCTCTCTGTCTCTGAGGCAGACGGCGAGGCGAGGCGCATCCGGCACCAAATAAAGGCCCTTCCTTTGGCAGCGTCCAGAGCAGCTCCGCGGGAGCAGGTGAAGAATAGAGCAGGGAAGCGCTTCAGACTCCTGCGGCTCAGGACTCACACCAGCGGAAGCCCATCCGCTCCAGACCCACTGACCGCTCACTCTAACCAACTGCTCGAGCAGATTATCTACAGCTAGAAGTGTGATAACAGTATGTGTGCTTCTGTGTTTTTAAGGTCCTAATCTGAAGACATTATGCAAGCTAGCAGTTATTCAGTACAGTCTGGAGCAGTCGGGACTCCCTCATGACATCAGGTGAGAGTCAGAACCTCCATACACACACACGCACACACACACTCTCTCTCTCACACACACACTCTCTCTCTCACACACACACACACACACACACACTCTCTCTCTCACACACACACACACACACACACACTCTCTCTCTCACACACACACTCTCTCTCTCACACACACAC